GAAATCTAATAATATGCAAGGTATAAATATGTTATTAAGTATTAATGTTGCACCTATCAAAATGCTACCCAGTTTTTATGTAATAACACCGTACAATAAACATTATGGTAGATTTTGTGGTTTCGTATTACGTATTACACTTTACTGTCATTGTATTGTAAAAATTTCAATTTTGCGATACTATATTAGTCTATACAATAATACCTATATTTTTTAATCACATTTTAGGTGCCCCTAAAAAGCAAGATGAAGATTGCTTCTTTGAGGTGATATATACTAAATACAATCCAAATCTCGATTTTTTGAACCTGTCTTCTGTCTAACTTCTTGCTTACAGATTATATTGTATGATCTCTAATGTAGATAATCACTGAGAGAAGAGTCTTTCATTTGATGGCTGATGATCGAGAAATTGCAAAGAAATGGCTAGATGGTATACAAGAATGCATCGATAATCAGTAATTTAAAAATATATATAGCACGTTTTAATTCCATGTCTATACTGTACGTGAACTGATATTGTTCACCTTTTTGTTACAATTTTGTCACAATAAACTCTAATTGGTTTGTTTTTATCTGTCGAAGTTCGACCTCATTAAACGCAGTCGATATAAATGCACTATTATAAAGTTTAATGTTTACGCAAGGCGTGATATAAATTGAATGGTGTGGAATAATTATATACCATGGTCATTAATCAATTTTTATACTGTATATTGAAAGAGTACGCTGTATTCACGTATCAGTTATAAATCGGTTTTATTTGTGATGTTATATTTTTATGATCGAAAGTTATCTTCCGAATTACATTAATACAGTCTCTAATGAACATTTCCATCTAAATTTGATAAAAAGTTCTTGTGTTATTTTCTGTCATATCTTGGCAAGACTAAGGAATCCCTTAGTCATAATTGTATCAATATAAACATTTGCTCTATATTATGATATGCATTATCAGTAATATTGCTGTATTACCGATGTACGTATGATGGAGTTATTATTAATGATATCATTACTACTAATATTATTGTTATTATTATTAATATTATTATTATCACTATTAATATTATCATTATTACTAATATTAATTAATATTATTGTTATTATTGTTGTTACTATCAATATTATTATTAATAATAATGTTATTATCCTTACTAATATTGTATGCAGGGATTTCTCAACATGGCATAGTACTGATAAGAATCTTATAGTAATCGGTGCTGTAGCTCTTTGTACTATAAAAATAATTTAATTATTGCCGTATTATTGCTTGCTTCGCTTTAGTACTTTACATGGTAACACGTTAATATTCATGGTAATTAATCATTTTTCAAGGTAAAAAAAGTAACTGCTTCGCAACATATCATTCCGTATTTTATTGATTGCTCATGAAAGACTGAACATTGCTACATCAAATCATTACATAATAATATATCTTTGAATTTACTAAATAGAGCTATCCTTTAAATACAGCAAATTTAAAATGGAGATATTGGTTAATAAAAATCCAATTACAATTCATGGAGAGTAATATCTAGCTGGTTTTAATTGCAAGTTTTTGATAATTTTAAAATAAGCGTTCATACAGTTTCTAAAGCTTGTTAGATCAAAGTATGATTATCATCAGAAGGTAAATTGATGACTGTACTAAATGAAGTCTGCTTATTCAATTCTTCTGCTGGATCGTTCTCGCTACAGGACGTGTGATCTTGCATACGCGTACACACTGTAATGCAGGCTTTCAGAACCTTGTCGTATAAATGAATCGCAAGCAAATATTTAGCCTCAAGAAAATTAACAGTTTCCTGATCCTGTACAAAACCACCTTAAATGATTAATATCTAAATAAATGCATTATGAATAATTAGCAATAGCATTACTGAACAGAAATCCTGAAATCTTCTCTAAAAACTGAAACTATCTAATCAAAGCTAAGATTTAAAAAATTTAATTATACAGCCACATTTTTTCGAGTTTGTAATTTTTTGAATTTTCTACATAATAGAATCTAGAGCAGGAAATACACCAATGATTGACCTACTTTTATAATTCTAGTAGTTGCACAAGCTACTCATATAATAATTTATATTCAGTGGAAAATCGTTTTAAGTAGCAGATTAGCCACATTAATAAGCTTTTTATACTCTGATATTAGGTGAAAAAGAAATGAAAAAGTTTAAAATTTTGATCAAGACTCAAATAACCTGTTTTGTATTGGATTTATGTATAAAATGGATAATAAGAGATTAAGAAGTCCTATTAAAGTTTTTAATCTCTTAGAATAATAAGGTCTATTTCTAATATCTATAATAAGTAATAATAAATAAATAAAATAGCTCTCGTGTGTATAATCGCGGCAGACACCGCACACATATTCGAGTCGGAAAATAATAACTTTGCCGCTAAAAAGAGCAAAATAATCGAATCATACGAGTATACCATTATATAACTCCACAAACAGATACTCTCGCTTATGTTTTCATTTTTAATAAGGGGTAACCAAATAAACATAACATTGATTTAACTTATAAATGATGCTACATAATCTGTGCATGAAATCGTGCAACGATTTTTGAAAATTAACAATGCTAATAAAAAAATTTCTCCTATAAATGATGCCAAGAAAGGAGCTATGATATTCAAGGCAAGTAAATTAATCAATTCCAATGTATTTATAGAACATAAAAGTCATAAACTCTAACTATATAGATCTTCTATGATTTTGTTTTACTTGTATATTTCGAATTTAAAAACAGTAGTTACAGATTATAATCATTCCTATCCCAATATATTGGATCTTTTTTTGTAGTAGTTATATCTAGTAATAATAATAAAGACAGAATAGTCCATGATTAAACATACAGTATGTCTAACGTTAAAAATTAACAGAAATTTTAAAGAAACAATTGAATGCTATATTCACCATTGACAATATCATAGAGTTTTAGTTGAACGTATGTTAGTTGGGCACTTAGCATTGGCTCTTCATCTGTGTCAAGTCTATTTAGTTAATTAATTATTAGACGAATAAAATATCTCCTACATTAATAAACCTAATTATTTAATTAGTACTACTATAAATAACCAGAAGACCTTATATTCCGAAGCAAATTTTGAGCTAAAAAGAGAAGCATGGTCCGTGAGTTGGTCATGATTTTAATTTTACTATTGCTATCTTAAATTGCTTTAACCTATCTCCAATAAATATTCATTACCTTTCATTTTAAGTTTTTGAATTTCTTTGGATGGAGAAATACGTTTCCAATTTATAGCAGTATTATGGCTATAGCGGTTGAAAATAATTTAAATAGTACATTATTCTCATTTCTTTACAGCATTTAATAAAGACGATTATGAGATTTGATATAAGATACAAGTGCTAAAGCTATTTTAATTAATTAATTGCTTTAGAATCCATAACTATAATTAGCTTTAATATTAACGTCTTACTCCGTATTTTGATTCGGTGAATGACCTACTGGATCAATGTCAGCTTTTGCTACTAAAAAGATATAGAAATAGTTGATTCAGAGTAGCAGCATAAATATCCTTTTATGATAATATCCAAGAGTACACGAAGTATAGCTCAAAACATAGTTACAGTGTCTATGTGTAAGAATTTTGAAAAATTCTCTCAGGTACTAAGTTTTATTAATGTACTAGAAAAGATATTGAGCTTAATTCATTTCCGTTTGATTATAATTAGTTCTAGGTTGTAAGGAGAAATCTTAAAACTGGACAACTAATTAGATAGTATCGTTAGAATATTTTTATTCCAAAATACCTTCTGTGTTGCCGTCTTCGTATGCTCGACGTAGAGCAACTTCTCCACGTCCTCGTCCATCAGGTCCATTTAAGCCAGCAAATCGTACAAAACTGTCTCTTCCATCATACCTTACCCGTTCCAGCATACGATACAGCATGCCAGTACCACCAGTCTCAGATTGCTAGTAAGCCAATCATGATTGGATTACCGTAAATTATGCTGACATTTAACAATTTTACTATATTCAAAGTATATAGGTTTACTTTTTTAACGAAATGTTCCCATGCAACTTGAAACCGAACTGATCCCTGAAAAATTACACGACATTCTGCTGGCTCCGCCTAATGAGTGAATAAACGGACCTGTAAAGTATTGTAAAGGCGTTGAATACTGTATGGAGTGTAATAACATTTAGTACCTTACTGACGGCTACAAGTTCGATAGCTAAGTGTTGATTATGACCAAAAGTAAAGTCTTTAAAGACCTTTTAATATCGGATATGATGAATTAGGACAAATTTTGGAGGGTTAAATATTACGATACTTTAGATAATTTACTTTGAGAGCAAATTTTTAGTACTGCTATTTCGTCGCATCATAAACGTAATTGTACCTCTTCAAATTCATCGATATAAAAGTATATATTAGGATAGTCAATATTTTCGCTAGTATCACCTTTTGAATCCATTCTATGCAAGAAAAAGTATAAATATAGCGTTTCACTACTTGCCCATTATTAGCAACAAATAATTGTTTTGTTTATTTTATGACGAGAATTTAATCTACTATTTTGCTTCTGATATTATTTGACTACTCTTTTCGTTCATCTTGTCGCTGCAGTAGACTGTGTTTGTAACAAACATTAATTTAATTTTATCACAGTCTAAAAGTGCAAATATCGTCTATAGCCAACCGATATTACCTGCGCTTGTTTGGAGATGCAAATACTGTCTGAAATACAAAAATTCCAGTATATTTAAATAGTTATGGTCTAAAATATGTCTTAAGAAGTTAGACGTATATTCTATGATACCAAGTTAATCATAATTAGCTACCATAGTTTAAAATTAATACTTTTCGCTAATTATTTTTATACGAATATCATTAATTAGCAACTTACATGGCTCCAACGTTTGATAATATCCGTAGCATTATCGTTATTAGATGCAGCCATTGTAATGATGTAATTAAACTAGTCGATTAGGTTATAGGAAAATTAAAAGTGAGATTTTAATTGGATCTGCTGAAATATTTTAATAATTACTAAAACAACCATTTACTCTATCATATAATCGTAATTGAGTAGAGTATATAATATATATAAATTATAAACTTTTAATACTGTACTAACATTTTGCAAGATCATATTTAAACAAACGGTTTCATCCCACAGCACCATTTCATCTGCAGCACTATACATATCGTCAATAACAGTAGCCAAAGCAAAAATTAATGAATCAGAACTTATACATAAAGCAATAAAACAGAATCAAAGGTGATATTATCTACTATAGCGTATATCGCTTAGTACCACGTAGAAAGCGCATATACGAATCTTATGGTAGTCGCTAAATAAAGTGTATTACAGTATGTACTTAAGCAGAACCAATTCTGTCTGATATCTCAGTAAAGCACTGTAGAGCTTAAATACTAATCATGATTATGTATGCACTCTGTTCTGCTTTATAGTTATCAAATAGTATTTTAAAAATGAGCAAGCTGAACCTAATTTTATCATGGGAGACTATATAGCATAACTTTTACGTATGTGCAGGATCGTATCGATCTCATCAAGCAGGAAATATCATAATAATATATTGCAAATTGATAATTATACTTATCCATTGAATCCATACTTTACCAATTGGTCAATGAAGTATTGTACCTGGGTAAATTTTTGGTCGTTCTCCGATAAACTTGAACTTTGCGAGACTATTTATGAATCGATTTTTAAATGAGGTAAATGAGTTATTTATTTTTATGCCACGATTGAATTGATTTCAAATTGCTGTACACTGCATAGGTACAAGTATAAGATATTTCTACGGACACGAGCAAAAGATCAATAGTTACTGTTAATGATGAATCGATTCATTTTCCAGCTAGCGTGTGTCCATGAATGTTATATGAGACTGATATTGAAGTAGATAGATTAACTATGATGTTCACTAAGCTGGAAAGTGCACGTTCGATATTAGCGAAGATATTTATGTGCTACTGATTGGGATTTACTTACCTCAGTTACAATCACCTCTTCATCGACCATGCAACGTTTAACGAAAAATAGTAAATCGTCTTGATCACCAGTTGGACTTTTGACATCTAGAACATTATCCTTAAAATGTTGATGATATTGACGATCGTCTGTAGGTATAATAATACGAATAATTATAATCTGTGAGTAAGAGGAGTATCATCATTTTCCTAGGGATAAAATACTTTACGACTCAAGCCTGTTTGACTACGATTATGGCTTACATTGACTTATACCAAAGATCTATCTATATGTCTCAATTTACGAGTATTGATCAAGATGAAAAAAATTAATAGGGAGAAATTTCTACTCGAGAAATAGTATCGTAATTATGTATAATTTATTTTAGCGATCACTCGACGCCTGAAGCCTGTTTGGCTACGACTATGGCCAACATTGGCTTATATTGAAGACCTATTTACGCGTCTAAACTGACAAGTATTGATCAAGATGAAAAATTAATAATAAGAAAATTTCTATTTCTACTCGAAAAATGATTGGCATCAATATATACAGTATATCTATTTTAGTTATCACGTCCAATGCCATTGTTGTGTATTTATCTAAACCGTACTCGTGTAAGCATTCACAGATAACCCTACTTTATTAACTGATATCAAGATGTCAGATCGATCGGAAGGTTCTCTACTAAAGATACGGGCATCATTTTTAGTGCCACATTATTTAGTTACATTATGAATTGCACTTGAAATCGAATATTACTGTACTATTCTACATTGATTCAATTATTTTAAAATTGTAAGAGGATAGGATTTGATCTTCTCTTATTTTCTTAACATTATTACTCTTGTCCGTCAATTTGGAAGTCACCCCTTCTTCTCGATACTGTACTATAACATTATACCAGATGATCGCACCTGATGTATCGATAAGATGTGAACAGCTTACAATTATCTCCTATGATGGATGAAAGTATCGCTCATTCTACTACAATTCTCATGTCACTAGGATGCATTGGTTGATTGTACAATGATTTTAACAACTGCTATGGAAGCTGATCAGATATTGCTTCTCCATTTTCTTCCTCTTCATACATGTTCTTACTTATGTCCATGGATTTACAAGTCAATTCTTTCTCTTTGATACCGTTATTAAGTCATTACTGTATAAGATAATTGTACGCGATTGCTACATAAGATGGTGATTATCGCCTGTCATCGCAGAATACTAATATAGCTATTGATCTCAATGAGTACAAGAGTGCATGATGGTACCAACGGTATTCAGATAGAGTAACTTTGACGAATGATGGATCAAGATAGAAATAAACAAAAGACAAAATCGGATAAATGTACAGTATTTCATTCCCTTCAATTCTCTACATGTTAAGAATTCATACTGGCAAACGATGACGATATCCAATAATATCATTCAAGTAGTAAAGTAGCTAACTAGTTACCGTCGACTTGTCGACCTTTCTTATATTTATCTTGATGGCGTTGATTTAATAATTGTAGTAAAGAAAAACTTTCATCTCTCGCTTGATCACCAGCCATTAATCCATGCAAATTGCGCTCTAGAACAGCTGCAACTTTCAAAAATAGAAAGAAATCTTAATGGATAGTATCACTAGATGGCATTTCACTTAGATGGAAGCCTAGGCGCTTGCAAATTCGGAGCTCTGATTTTGTTTATATTGACGATGAGTAATGAATCCATGGGCTAACTGTACGTGTACTACTGTATCATACAGTAGTAAGTAAATACAGTCTTATTATACAGAGTCGACTGAGGTTTTTAGGACTAATGAAAATATTTTGGGGGATTTTATTGCCCGATCAAAAATAATGTCACCTGTAACGATGGCTTCGCCATACAGACAGTTTTATAAAGCGATCCTTACCCTGACATACCTTTTGCCTTGTGTGAATAGTGTGCGATATCATGGCACTTAAAGTTCGGGTTTTGAGTATAATCTATATATTACAGTATAGTACTATCATCTGATATAGTGACATCATTTTTGCCTTACGCTTACACTGTGCGATACTATGACACTAATACGAGTGTGTACAATATAGTACTTGTATCACCTACAGTGACATTATTTCTGCCTTACGCGAATACTGTGCGATACTGTGACACTAACATGGGTGTATACAGTATGGCACTTTTATTCCCAATGATGACATCATTTTTGCAATGGGCCAATATTGTAGTCCTCATAGTGACATTATTTTTGCCTTACACGAATGCTGTGCGACACTGTGACACTGGTATGAGTTTGTATCGCATACCACTTTAATCACTACTAGTGACATTACTTTTGCCTTACACTAACCCTGTGCGATACTGTGACACTAGTATTAAGTACAAATACGTAAATTATGACACTTGAATTACTAGCCTGTATACTGTACTGTATAGGGACATCAGTCTTGCCTAGCGTTGATACTGAGTGATACTGTAATATAATACGACCAGTTAGAGTTATAGAGGTAAAAAAAACTGTGGTTAAGTGGCAATTTTGATATCATTTTGCTCGTTGATATGTATACTAAGCGAGATCATGACACACAATATTATTATTAGTGACATCATTTTTGCATTGACTGGAGATTTATAGCATTTATTAGTGCTTGAAAGAAGTTACCCAAAACTTATGTGGCAATCTCACTATAGTAAAAGCTTATTAGCTGCTAGGTAGGGATGACATAATTTCGCTTGTATCAATGAATGACAGTTTTCGGCAGGTCATCCGAGACCACAGTGCAAAGTATTGTAGCCAAAGGACAAGTTACTGTAGTGTACCGTACTGTACACTGTACGGTACAGTACAGGAGATTCCCTTTCGTGACGAAAGTTTCGTCCTCGACTTCCATTAGAAAAGAACCTCCAAAAGGCCTTCTGATGATGAAGAAAATCTCAATGAAATACTTGCTCTTACACACTTACCGTTTATAGAATAGACCAATCTAGCATGGACTTGAAATAGTCAAGCCTACAGTTGATTGATTGCAGCGATAGGAATTTATTTTTTGACCGGTAACTCATACAGTAGACGAAGCAGTGGAATCGAAACGAAAGAAAATGGCAAATCCATGATGCTTTGGTAGGTCATGGATCAAGTGTGGATATCTTTTTAAGGGCAAAATTGATCATCAAATGTAGCGAAATAATAGTGGTCCTTATGGAATAAAGGGTGGATGTAGACATAATAAAAGTTTTGCGGTATATCTCTTCTTGGTATCGATATCGACTTTAATTTTCCGGCTATTCTAGATAGCCAGATAGGTGATGAGTTGTTGACATTGGAATATCCTCAAAGGCTAGACTACAGTACGCAGTATAGGAATTGTAAAGTTAATGAGACAGGCTACTGTAAATCGAACATTCCATCTAATACAACGCTTGTGTAATCCATTTCTATCTATGTTTCATACTCAAATTTCATTCTACCATGATTAGGCATAAACTACGTATCTCAACTAAAGGTAGAATTGAATGATAATCCAGCTTCAAGTCACTTTATGATATCCAATTGGGGAAAGTGACCATTGCATCCGTAAAAATCTCAAATTGAAATCGTTATAGTTTATCCGTCTCTATCCAGTTCGTTAATATGAAATATTGTTTGAGTGGCCAGTACAAGTCGAGACTTGATCACTTGGATTAAATCTCATTGGCATTAATAGTTTATGTCCATCCTTATCCTTTAATACCATCTTTATTTTAGTGGCTAGTGCTGCTCGAGATTTAATATCCACTTGGATTAAATCTCATTGATGTTGATATAGTTTATATCCACCTCTATCCTTTATTATCATTATGATTTTAGTGACTGGTACGAGATTTACTATGTTCAATTGGATTAAATCTCATTGACATTAATAGCTGAGATCTACCTCTATCCTTTAATATGAATATTATTTTAGTAGCTAGTATAAGTCGATATTTAATCTTTACTTGGATCTAATCTCAATGACATTATTGCTAATGTACTTGCTTAAATATAATCCAACTAGGAACTTTAATATCAACCTTTCAATATTAATAGCATTGACTGCAAAAATCACAACGTTCGTGACTACAGTATGCAATTTAGACTCTAGACCAACCTTCAATCAAACGAATTACAGTATTCCTGTAGGATTAATGCACTAACCGGTGAGTAACATTAAGCCACTTTTCTACTTAATTTAAGCGTAAACTAAACTGATTAACATCAATAGAGCTACATTATGCCAACGTTAATACTGCTCATACGTAGTTCAATGTGGTGTATTCAGTATAACGTTTGTAGAAACGAAATAGCTGCAATGGAAAGGAATCATTCCAAGTATATCTACTATACGGAATTTTACATACCTAAAACAAAAGTTTTACTTTGCTACCGAGTCAAATAAATTATGAACTAATAAATTATAGAAAGCAAAATCAGATCTAAACACTTCAATACAACATCCAATAGTTAATCTGAGCTACGTGATTAAAACCAACTTTAGCATCCAGATAAAAAGTAAAGTAGAAAATAGCACCATTTTACATCTGTAAGATTCACACCACAGTTAAAATTGAAATTATAAATATATATAATTTGTAATCTATAAATAATAAATCTACCATGCTTTCGAAATTGGCCTCAACTGATGGGCGTAGAAATAATTTTGACTACGTTTTCTCTGTATAATTGAAATTATGATCGATAATGAATTAATTATTCAATATGAACAGTACCCTATATTATTAATCATCAGTTCAGGGTAAATATAATAACGCAATCTTAGATCTCATATCTATGATAGAAATAGTCATACTATGAGCTGTATAACTGATTCTCGAGATTTATCGTAACAATGATGTAGCTATATTGCTTACTACAACTGTGTTAGGTAACAATTTGTTATTTTTAACTATCCCTTACGATTCATACTCTTTCTTTCCAGAATATGAAAACGCTTCACAAACGTTCATGTACCTACACTTTGCTAGCTATAATCCTTTGTATATTTTGGCAATCAATTGATTCCGCGACACATTTAATCCTTAATGATAAGAATCAAATTGAATACAAGGTAATTGATAGATGACTCAATTATATAATTTTAATATAGCAGCGGTTAAGAGATATTGTAGTAGACTAATAATTATAAAATTGCACAATAAATATAATAGAATACGATCTGGCAGTTAGATAGTAATAGCTCAAAGACTATTTTCTAGCTACTTTATTAGACGAATCACGTAATGAACTTATTAAATTGTACAGTAAATATAATAGAATACGATCTGGCGGTTAGATATTAACAAATTAAAGACTATTTTCTAGCTACTGTATTAGACGAATCGCGTAGTGGACTTAGAACTCTGCTGCTCCTTTATTAATAAAGCAGATGTTTAAAAGCTTACATATTCTTCTTCTAATTATCAAACGTAATTACATTTTACTATTCTTAAACCATTTATTTTTCTAATCACTAAACTCAAAGTATTATACAATCCCTATTTTATTCAAATTACTAGGTGCCATCGCCTTACTATATGGCACGACCTGATTGTCTTCCTAAATTTCTAGAACAAACAGTGGCAATGAAAGATATTCTGCTACTCAAAAGTAAATTAGCCTACGATCAACGAAATAAATTAATTGGTAATAAATTACGCTCAACTGATCGTGATTGCTTGCGAGCTGAAAACTCGAATTTATCTGGTAAAAAGCGATGGTTACATAGAGCTATCTTAACCTTAAAATATAAAGGAATTAAGTAAGCATACAAAAAATATCATTATCGTAATGGTGTTATGTTGACAATTATTGATCTTGCTGTATTATAGATCATACGTAGATGTGTATGCACTCACAAGTATTAGAATATTCTGTGACATTAGTTGTATTCCTAGTTCAGCAATAAACAACGCACTCGTATGCGTACATACGTATAATACCGATTAATCGACCAATTGTCTTCTATGTTGAGGTTGAAATAGAATGTCCTTTGATTTTTCAACTTTATTGAGAAATCAAAATATAATGTAAAGAATTATAATAATGTTGGGTATGTTTGTAACACAACTAGTATTGAGGATTACCTACAAGAAATTGAAGTATTACCAGATGATTCTGAGTCCCCAACATGCTCTGATGACTTTCCATTTCGACTGGATTTATCATATGATCATTTGCTGGGGGTGGCTCAACGATTTAGTTTGAAAGGCACTCCAGAAATGCAAATTTTTTCACTTTATAGATTAAAAAATGAATCACTTGATACATGGGGTTATCGCATTCACGAAGGTTTAAAACAGGTATTTGCATAAATAACGCAAGCTCCCTTGAACTTGTTAAAATTACTCCAGTTGCTACATGAATAAAATTATCACGTACGGTAGATTTGATTTGTATCAGATTATCTATTAATGAATAGCTTAATTAAATTTTATTTTGATCTAGAATTCATCATCGTGGGTTTTACTTAATTTGGCTGCCTTTTATTGGAGAATGATTGGTAACGCAGGCAATGAAATCGAATGCTTGCGTCGGTCTCTTTTCTATACCCCCGTAAAGTATTATGATGTTCCCCTAGCTGCACTTGGAACTGTATTACATAAGCACGGGTGCGATATTATCAGTGTACAATGACTGTCTAATATCTAACTTTCTATCTGTATATCTTCTTCATTACGGCACTTACTCATTCATCATTGGTAATTTTAATAATAGCAGATTTAAGCGCGTGTAACACCAAATGATATAAATATATATATATTTTTGACGACAGCTACATTCAGGATGCTTCGATGTTATTCGAGAAAGCTATCCATTTCGCCCATAATACATCACTACTGCATTTCATGCTGGCAAATGCTAAAGCGGTTAGTCAAAATCATTTGAACGTATAATCATGTTTCAAAAAATGCTTATAACTAGGAAGATATCAACCATACTACCATCATTGCTGTTTATTATTGTATTAAATATGCTATATCCCACGTGTTTGCCTTTATTCTAGGCTAATGAAGAGTATCAAGAAGCCACTATTCATTATACTAATGCTATTAAATTACAACCTGAGTTTGAAGCCGCTAAAAAACTTTTAAGCGCCGCCAAATGTGAAATGAATATCATTAAGTTATTATATGCTATGAGCTCCAAGTAATTCTAAACACATATCGATAAAATATTATCACAATTTATCAGCACCATAAATCAATTCTATAATATATCTTTCTACTGAATATTTTTTACGATTACTTTTCTCTGATTTTTTAAATGCGATAATTATGTTATTTGCAGTTCCACAAATCCATTCAAGCAAATGAACACTCGTGAAGCATTAAAAGAAATTAGATCTAGGGAAGCCAATGTGATACAGAATACCATGCATGATTCTATACAAGACGTCAATCAGAAGCGCTTTAATGGTTACAAAAAGTATATTAAGTATGGTAGAAAGTGTATGGCAAATGGTATGATTATTCTGCAAGTGAATATTAAATTACTCTAAAGACCTAAGGATAATAAATTGTATCTTACTTCTAATTTAATTAAGGTGAGGAATTGTTTATTTGTAATCCAAAGTTAACAACAACGGTTCCTAACTTTAACCGATTTATCTTCGAAGATGAACAAGAAGATGACCTCTGTAAGTTAGCAGGATACAACACTAAATTTGAACAGGACTAGTATTTAATATGTTACACTTAATATTATTATTATCCTGATATTATATTAGCAAATGACATACTTCATCTACTCATAAAACGAGATGTAACAATATTAAAATATTTCTAGCCCCAGTATTAACTGAGAATGTTATATATATAGTAAATACTTCATCATCAAAACATATTAATTAATACTTACTTTCATAGTTACGCCTAAACAACACATTTCCTGTATAAAATTATTCTTTATCTCAGTTTATAATTAATAAGTCAAATCAAATTAGTTTAATGATCAGATCGACTCATTCCTTATCGATACAAGCTGAAGTAATTACTATGCAACAGTAAATTACTTAAAATTCCAAAATTTTACTATTAAGCTATTGCCATAATCAAATTAGATTATACCATAATAGTAGCAAATTATAAAAGTACATAGCATGCAGCATCCTGAGGTGTAATAGGAAAAGTCAAAAAGCGAAACGATCAGAATTACGTCCGAAACAATTGCATACTGCACATCTAATCGATTAATTTCTTAAACAACGATTAGATTCTATAAATTTCGAACCGCAATTAAAGCTGTTAGATATGACTTGTCAAGAATTAGCCACCCTAGATATTAACCGTATTATCAATCAGCAAACACCATTGCCTTTATTACCTATTAGGAAACAAATAACAAGGTTAGAATAATAATATTACAATAGATGTCGAAAACAACGTTGAAACACTAGAATTTTTTTAATTTTACTGCATACAGATTCGTAAGAGCAGTTATAGTCTATAATCTACGTTGTGGAAATTATGGTGGTGTTTTTGTTGTGATTATAAATCCTAATTCCTAATTTATTTTTTTAGTCGTCTATATTATAGAAATATCGATCACGTACCTGCTGATCAAAGACCCTTATGTCATACAGTCACAAAGTTAGATCACAGTATGCGTACTTTCGAACATTTAGACGGCATTAATAATAGGAAATTGCTAAGGAAACACAATAAAAAGCAACTTATAATGAAAGTAAGTACACATTGGTGTATATAGGTGTACTCGTTTAATATTAATCGAATCAATGTATTATATAATATAATTTATTCGAAGCAATCTCTATAGCATCCTATTAGCTAATACTTATGAAACATAACTTATAAGCAGTTACTGAAACAAGGAAAGTCTTAGATGTGTGCAGACAAACCGTTAGACTTTATAATCTGTTATATTACATTAAAATTTTGTCTTTAAAAAAATTTATTATACGTATTATATTGCAATAAACAGCAATAAGGGGCAATACATTCTAAGAAATTGAGCTAATTTACAACTTCGTTCTAGATAATTATCTATGTTGATCGTATACATTTTATTAACTAAAGAAGTTATTGATAATGTAGAACCAAACGTTATTGATAATGTTCGTTACTCATGCGCGATACGGCGGGTATACGTATAAATTACAGATAGATTTAAATTAATAGCGTTTATCAGCACGCAAACTCTTACCTGTTATTTTTGGTTAGTCAAACATAGTCGTATATATGCTACAAACAATTCAATATGAAAGTTACAGAGTGCGGTATATGAGTTTGTATTTACGATAACAGATACGGTATGATGATTTATTTATGAAGTTCGATGCATACATAATTTTTATCGGTTCATTTCAAATACAGTGTACGTGTATTCTTTTCAAGCAACTACTTAATCACTTATATCCAAGCATAGTAAATTGCATATTATAACATTTTGTGATAATTGACACCTTACCTCGACCTTCACTATTTATCAATATTGCAACGGTGATTTGTATATTAAGCAGCTAACAATAAAACAACTCGGCGGAGCACTGAGTTTTATTTTCTCTTACGTAGTGGTTCCATGATGTCGTTTATGCTCCAGCAGTGGTCGATGATGCTTCAATAGAGAGATGGCTGACTTATATCATGACTATGGTATTTATATTAGTACTTCATTAACCATCTTTATAAATTCACGAATAATACTTACATAGTAAAATATATCTTCTCTATCATTAATCATTAGGAGGAAACTTCATGGCTAGTATATGATATAGCAGCAATGTATTGGATTGCAGAGGGCAATCACACGAACGCTATCGAGTGTTTTAGATTATCGTTACATTTTGCATCAAATGAATATGCTACCGGCCCTCTGATAGGCCTAGCCTATACGTTACTATTAAATGGTTATATCGAAAATGCAATCACCGTTGCTAAAGCTGCTTTGTCAGCAGAAATTCATACTCAGGTAAATCTTATTTAATAAACCATTGCTAACCTATAGAAATTATGCCGTCATATTGCTGTTCTGTATCTACCTTAAAAATCATATGGTAAATAATGATATAACTTTATATATTAATTTACTCTTGGATTGTAGAGTCTACAATATATCGGACGTTCTGTTTTGGGATTATCTTTACTAGCAGCCCATCAGTTGTCTCCAGCTATAGAACAGTTTAAAGAAGCAATTTCTAACGCTACAGTAAAAACTTATCTTGAAGGTTTAATCAAGTACATAACTTGCAAGTTGGAAATATCTCCAATAATTAACAGTGACAAAGATATTGAGAAGTGTCGCGCGACGCAAGAGAATGATGCAAAGGAAAACATTATTTCTACAATTCAAGAGACTGATAGGCAGTTGAAAATTCAAACTCAACTATTACAAGAATTAAAGCAAGGGGAAAAAAAATTGCAAGAATTGATTAAAAAAAGTAAAGAGTGAGCTTCTTATGCTGTAATATTTCTTTCACTAAGTAACAGAATTTACTTTCATGTATTTCTTATTTTTGTATTCCGAGTTTATCTTGTTAACACTACTAAACGAGTAGATACATGTGCCTAACCGGTCGAAATTTCGTTTTCTATTATCCATTTTCTATATCATATTTTCTCTCGAATATCAAATTGGATTTTTATCTTTATGTTTAAGCCTTGAATGTAGGGTGTTACTAGAGTATGTGCTGTAAATGTTTTCAAATTTTTCATTTATTTGCCAGTTTAGCAATATAATCATTAAACGGTTGTAGCATTGAGAATCACATATAAATGAGCCATGAGTTATCAGTAATGCAAGTATCTTGATTATTTAGGCAATTGCCATCGTAGAATTTAATAATTCTGCCCTGAAGCTTACACTGTCAATACATCATACCAGTTACCTCTAAAGAATTAAATTTCTCTTCCGAGTGTCTGTAAATTACAGTACTAATCATTAATATGTACCATAAATAAATACTATATGGCAATAGGTATTATAGTATAGTTTTATCTCATTAGCGTATGATCTATTTAGCTAAAATTAAAATGAATTTAATTGATGATAACAGCGAAATGTAAAAGCATTGTATTACATGAAGTTGATAAGATTATTACGGTCTCAATTTCTTAAGAAAAGTGGGGTTTTATTTGCGATTAAAATTGCATATAATTTCTCAAATTCGAACTAATCACTGAATATATTTACTTTTATACCTAATTGAAATAGATAAACTTTTACATAAGATTCTTGACGAAGAACGTTATCCATTGTTGGGTTCATAAGTATTCATTGGATAACAAATAATAACTCACCATGCCCTGTGTATAGCATGACAAATGGTATAATCTAATACCCGTTTTCTGAAATATTAGACCGATATCGAAATATTTGGGCTCGTACAGCATACGAATATGAACTATTGCAGCAAGCTTTCCCATGAATCAGTTTTACCTGCTATAAATACCGATATATGCATTCAATTCAGTCAGTGATTGTTTAACTTACATGCTAGGAAAAATCGTAAGCGCTATTTATGTAAGAATGGTCAAACAATAATTCCATGACAAGGTCTCAGCTTGTGTAATAAATTTATTGGTGTCACGATAAAAGCTGAAATTGCTAGGTAAAATAGCAAATGCAATTTTTAGTTGCTATTATCGTCCAACGTCTGTAATTAGCTATAACTTTTTGCATACCCTTCACTTGCAGTAATAATTAAACGATAATTATCAACCAAGATTGAATTTTAACATTAACAATAGCCAAAAAATATCAGATACTAAGGGACTACACCGCGGTAGCCGTGTTTTAAATTAAGCGCAATTAGCAACTTTAAATATTCTTATTAATTTAAAATTAATTTAATACTTGCATTTTTGTAAAAGTGAACATACTGGTCCACAAACAAGTCTATAGTAAGTGTGAAATAGTTTATAAGGCAGCAGAATTTCTGTGGAAGCAGTTGTTCACTTATCCGCATAACAGCTATTTACAAATAACAGCGTTATTACTTATTGTACTAGCCGTTAGGCGTAGTCATCAATGGTACTTTGTTTACATTAGTAAGTTAATCATAATTTCATATTATAGCTCCTACTGCAGAATAATAATTTAATTTATATATTATGCTATAGTAATTATAACGTACCATAAAACTTGAATTAATCAAGAGTGCCAACTAGACACTTCGCAGTCGGGTGCAGTATACGAAAAGCAGTAGATATAATAACAAGTACAGCTAAAATTACAATTACTTTCTATAGCATACAATTCTATGGAGCCGTGGTAGCCAAATTGTAAAAAAATAAGTGTAAGACGTATAATGATTATCCGAATTTCTCTAATAAGTGCAACTAGATGTCATTGTCGATATGGTATACAACTGCGCTAACAATTGATAAAATTAAAAATAAATACAGTCAGTTTTCTACATTATCAATAATGTTATTAACACTAAATTCATACAGTAGGTTAATTATACACGATCAACAACTGCAAGAACCTAGTAAGAAATATGATATACTGTCTAGATAAAATTTCCACTAGAGTTATAGCGTTAATTAAGTGATATTTTACGTGCAAAACCAGGATGCAGGAACAAGAACGATCATGTTGATATTATATCCTAATCTAAAGTAGTACGTCAGAGATCTAATATATATGCCACTGAACAGAATTAGCACCTTATCCGGCGCAAAAGAAATTCTGGTAACAAAATTAACACCTGGGATGTTAAAATTAACAATTATAAATACAATAAATAATGCCGTTCATAAAATTTTTTATACAGAAACAGAATCACTCAGTTATGATCCCTAGAATATCTTAAAATCGGTGACAAACAATATCACCTACAAGGAAGAAAGTTGTATCAGACAAATTCTGAAGCGAAATTCAATTAAGCGTATTTCCCAATACGAGAGGTCTACTCCTATTATTGTCGTATTCTCGACTAAATAAATACATTGCTTTATATACAAATTCATATTGTTCCAATGTCTGAACCAGTCCTCCTCTATAAAGATAAACGTATCAAAAACGATTTACTATTAATACATTAAAGCAAACATTGGACATCTTAAATGCCTTTCCTGATGCTAAGGTACGCATAATCAACAAGATACTAGCAAAAAATACAGCATTGACGTTCTAGTCGAAATGCTATTTTTATGCTCACCTGTCTTCCCGCATCGATGAAACTATATTTAAAATATCTACCACTCTTTCCATCTAATAAAAAACAACAATTATTAATTATTTTCAATCAATAATACAAAAAACCTAACTTATCGATGACTACCTACAGCAATATATATATAAACAATAATACATACCTCGTATTGTATTATACCAATGCTTATCGCGATGAAACAACCGGTGCGTCCAATGCCAGCACTGTAAAATGAACAATAAAATATTATGGTCTCTCTTATGGATGTAAAAAACATTTTCCAATACTTTTTTAGTTATATCATTATTAACCTGCAATGTACTACAATAGGACCGGTAGACAATTCCTGTCGTTTTACTCTAACTTCTTTTACTAGCTGTAAAAGTTGCCTAGCTGAATCAGGAGCACCATGGTCTGGCCAAGAAGTATACCAAAAGTGATAGACATACCTAGGTGATTCCGTGATCTATAATTTTAAAATACATTCCGTTAGATTGTAAATGTCTGTACCAGATATACATGACAAACCGTGATCATTTATATATGAGCAAACACTGTATTATCATCATGACAATAAATTTCTAGATACCTTGGTATTTTCAAGCTTAAGTTGACTAACTATATATCCCTCTCTTTCGCAGATATTTTCTAAAGTAACCTTAATTTCGCCATAAGTAACTTGGCCTTGATCAGAATTTGGCCAATAATATTCACATTTATTCTTCGAATAAGTACATAAATACACTTTTGTTAGTAAAAATATTCATATGCTATATTAAAGTTATGAAATGTTATAGAATTCTTACAAGATTCTTTTCTCGGACTTTCGTAATCATAATTATAAGTGAAACATTTTGAAACCAGACCATTCTCCAAAAATCATCGATAGTGTTTGGAAGCGGCCCTTGAGTAGCAATAAAAGCGCGAGGTTCATTCTTATAACCCTAAAAATCAACACACCAACACAATCGGAATCACCAATGCTATACCCATATATCTCATTCAATTACAAGCAAAAAGAATAACTTTGTTTACGTAAGAGTATATCTATAGCAAGTGCCCTACATACCCTAACATAGTTTGCATTAATATAATTTGATAACGGTACATTAGGTATTTCGGGTAAATTCACAAGAGTACGTAAATCTACAAATTGAATAGCATAAACCAATTAGTACGTACGTACATTAACGATATCAGAAATATCATATTTACAAAGATATTCATCCTAGATATGAAATGCTACGCTAGCTGTAATACGAACTAGGCAAAATTTGTTGATGTCTATTCTTCTTTCCTGTCCCAGCAATTCTCTGGTCGCAGAAATTCATCGGTATTTCCTTAAAAGATGTTACACGTTAGGTTACACTGTGGTGAAAATGGCATGATACAGTCCTTATAATAAATCATAGTTATAATTCACTAAATGAAGGAAAAAGCAAAAGTTCCCTACAGCGAATTCAGCATGAATACGGCTGACATTGTCCAACGCTTCCTGTAGCTCTTGCCTGTCTAATACACGACTTTTTCTTTGAAATATCTCATCTCTAGGAGGACTAGGATTTACCGGCTTTATAACATTAGCTCCTAAAGGTAACGGCAGTCTCGGTACATTACGCCTGTAGGATAAAGATGTAAAGATATTTAATTCATTTTAGTACAAATTTTAGTTAATTCATACCTATCATCAATAGTCATCAACTATAAGTTACAAAAAAATGTAAACCTCGCTGCTAGGCTTCGTGGATGCGATTGATATTGTGATACTTGTAACCAATCGTTCTCAACGACACTTGGATCATCCCATGGTTGTATATATCTCTGTTCACTATTACCAAGCGGTGAATGTCCAGGAAGTAATAGAGGAAGTTGTTTCTCGAAATCTCTATGTTCTATTTCTTGCTTTCGAAATTTATAACGCCGCCATAATGCCGTTGCCTACATGAATATAAAGATATTAAATGTAATATACGGTAATTGTAAAATAATTTACACCACGATTATAATACATGCTGTTGAAATTTTAAGTCTATGTGGTTACCACGAAGATTCCAAGGAGAATTAAACAAGCGGCAGTGCCTACCATGGCTCCAATAAACCAGTACTGATTCCAAATAGTTAATTCATGTTCTTTGGGGCCATTATTAAATTTATACTATACAGATGGTTAAAAGCAATTCATTTAATACAAAATTGAAATAATACTATAAAACTTACAAAATCGATAAAATAAATATAAAGTTTGTTAACTTACCTTAGGATGAACATCAGTCACCTTAAATTCAGACAAGTAAGTTCTAAGTACACTAGGTGTTAACTTTTCTACTACGTCTTTAGCAGGGTATAGAATCTTGCTTAAATTTGAGTTGGCATCCAGATGAAATGTCGACTGTGTAACGTGAGGTTTTATCACATAGAATTCGATAATAACATCGCTTTCCTAGAAAACAATTCAAGACGAATTCTTCTTAAGATAGGTTGAATTTTTACTTTATGTAAAGTAATAAATACGCTTTTACATTATAAATAGCAATTTTAGAAGACTTGCTTGGATATTATACATCTCTACTACATACTGCAAAAATGTAATGGAACTGTTAAGGTATTTATTTACCATAATTTTATCAATAATAACATTTCGTGCTGGTACATGCAATGCAGCAGCAATCCCATATACAAATTCAGCTCTTCTGTCGGCTGTAAAAGACGAAGATTCCATAGCGATTACCTAGAGAAAAAATAAACAAAAGAATTTAATGCTTCTTCTACTATTTATAATTACCGATTCATCACTATATTATAAAATAGCAATACGATCAAATTTGTCAATTGAAAGATGTTACTGATAACGTCTAATCTATTTAGAATATCTCTTCAGCATTCTGATAGAAACATTTTGCATAACTACCTCATTTGCTTAAGTAAATGGAAAAGAAGCACTTATACTGTAAATTATCAAATTTTTCTACTCATCACAGTACTGTACTATTTTCTTGTAGAACACCAGTAAATGATAACACATCCAAAAATGATTGTAGTATATACTACAGCGTCAAAAGCTAAGTACGCATAACAGAGCAACATCTGCAATGATAAGTTGTGATTATTTTATCAATTAATCAAGAAATTATTATCGCACATTAAGGTAATAATAGTATAATATGACATTACCTACAACTTGTATAGCACTACTGAGTCTACCTTAGAGGTACTGACTGTACGCTTAGAAAGTAAAATCTTTCAGTGTAGTACAATTTAATTGAATGCTAAATTACTAAATCACCGCTTTACAATTTATATTTATAATTCAAAGTACAAATTAATTTAAGAAAATAGGGTTATGAAGCTACTCCCTTATATGCATATACGCATATATCCCACTTCGTATAAAGTTTATATTTCATAATATTAAATTTGTAAATGTTATACCGTATAATATATAGGAAGATTATTAATCATAGGAATTCTCCCAATTTCTTAACCACAATAACCTATTGTAATCGCAGTATGACTCATCACAAGTCCATCATGGATGTTAATAATAACTAAAATATTCAATGTTTGGTAAAGTAATAGCTAGAGAGTAATTACGTTACGGTAAAGCATTAACTTCTGAAAAATCCCGTAGTAGGCAGCGTTTTACAAAAATATTTATACATCTCCTTCAAATAAATAGTGATGTACCGTAGTAAACTTACGTTAGTTTATGATCAGAATGAATTTATAACTAAATTATATATATTATTAGCCTTGGCTATTTTTTGCTTCTATTCGATACAGACTTAAGTATATATACACACTTAGTATAGCATGAAGAAATATCCCATAACAGTGAAAACCGCGATTTCATAAAATTTATAACAATTTTGATCAACTCTTTCTCTCTCCCTACCCATTTAAAAACACTCATAGTGCCAGATGTCAAATGTAATTTATTAGAGTACATTCAAAAATATCACTACTGTAGATAAAAATATGATATAAGCTAATTAATAATGGCTATCTAAAAAACGAATTTATTTATAAAAAAAATCCTAATTGGTTACTAACGCAACAGAATAGGATAGCCACGTTAATGTATTCCGATACAAGTAGTTGCAGATTCATATTATGCCTTATGTAATTGTAATTTAAAAACGACTTATCATTTATCGATCGTCTTTCTCAATCATACGAGTATAGCATACATCCAAGAAAAAAGAGGAAAAACCCAAACTGTTACTTGGAATTTATAATCAAGTCAAGATTCCGTAACGATAGCAAGTCTAATGGAATTTAGAGCATAATATCAAATATAAAGACTATCATGAAGTCGCTACTCAAGTTGATATATAAATTTATCTGTAGATAATCTTTTATTTTTTCAACTTATCCATCCATAAATTTCAACCAATATGTAAGTGTATCTATAATGATTAGTTTTATCATTGATTGGTCTCCATTCTCGTTACCATTAATGAAACAAAAGTAATTACCCTAAACAAACATATGTCAAGTATAGAAGTGATTCACGTACCGTTGCAATATTCATATGGTAAGAAATTAACATAAACGAATGAATGTTCATGAATGAGTCACTACCATAATGTGAGATTCAGTACAAGTAAATAAATCCAAACTACTATTTACCATATCGACATTAGCTATTACAGCGTTCGTTTCAATATTATGCAAGATTTTACTACCCTACCATACGATATGAGTGAAGGAATGTTGCACATTATGTTCAGTATATTACATAAGGTTGCGTAAAATGAAGTTTACGAACGGTGTTCATGTATAACATACTGTATGTGTAGGTATTTTGCCAAATGTATATACATACTTTATGTGCTAATATCATGAAAAGCACATGAAATTCGTCAATCCTAATTAGTGCTTAATCATAACAAAATGGATTCAAGCCCAACTATTATTATCAGGTTGATAAATGAATTGTAGATTTCAAATCTATATCTACAATCATGATGAAAACCTGACTATTCACTTGCTATCTATTGCACAGTTATCATAGTCGTCCTATCGGTAATGAAATTAATGAAGGATTGCATGAAGTTGATATTTCATCATCAAATGATGCAAATAGCTTCCATCGACTATTTAGTAGCTAACCCCTATTACGCTGTTGTACTTATCGACTTTTACTCATCTATTTGGTCAATATTAGCCTAAATAAGATGGAAAGAGAGAGTAGCTAACTGTGAATAAGATGATAACTCTAACAAGCAACTGTCATCAGCACAGTGTGAAATGGACGTTATTATCCGACTTCGTGGTATCTTGAAGTTGCAAGTATTGTAACTTGCGTGTCGATTGCGTGTTGAATGTTACTCATTACGAGTTGAAATCACTTTCATATTGATCTGCAAAAGCTATACACATCAGCATAGATTGCAATTTTGAATTTGAACGTGGCAAATAGACCATAGCTTTGACTCTTTATTTTAACTCACTTTCGACTACGTCTACTCTTACCTGAAGGAGATATCAAAAGACTATATTGCACTATCGCAACTATCAAGTACAAGGATGTAGTCTTGAATGGAATTGAATTATTATTATATTACGTAAACTTACAGCCACAACAATATATTGTCTGCTGACATCTTTCAGTAAAAAAAGCGTAGTATGGGCTGTCGATTTGAATGTTGTTGGCTTGACCGTTGTGATTGCCATTGCCCGTTTCTGTCTAACTGGTAATATTGTGTCATCATCTGGATCTCTTTTAGCGATTGCAGTATCTTGGAAGTTGGCGTCTCGTAACAGCGGTGAACTGACTATAATATCATTGTAGGAAAAAAAATAAAAAGATTCAATTCATTCATCAATTTATAATAAAATAGGCTACCTTTCTCAATTGCTAACTCTAATCTCTTGATATTACAGTAGTGTCTATGTGTACAGTACCAGTCTATACGTTCAACAATCAACATGGTAACATTCATTATGTAGCACTGCTATTGAGAAATAGTTGATTTTTCATGCAGTGTTGGAGATGCACTTTTCTCTTCAATTTTCACTTGACAATCGAAGTAAAACATGATCTATTCTATTGCAATTTTCGTTTCAAGTAATGCGATGCAAGGGGGGCACGGTATGGCGATCGAATTTCCGAATATTACTTGATATACACCAAATTTTTGTCGACTGTTGTGTTTTTCTATGGATTGTTGTATCCACTCGATATAGTAGTAGCGTATTGAGTTCAGATTGTAACGGACTGTTTATCAATCAATACCCACTGATGTAGTCATCACCAAATGCAATGAGCCACTTTGTACCGTTGGCAGTTTTTTTTTTTTTTTTTTTATATAAATGGGCGCTGACAGAGAGTACTGTACATGGAGTCCATTCAAAACTGAATTAACATCACTTATCTACCTATTTTCATTGAATAGGAAAGTAAATCAATAAATTTTTAAAAATCTTCTCCATCTTCAAGTCATGTATTACTAACAACAGTATTGACATAGTGTGACTTGACACATGCATGTCAGGATTATCGATAGACCTGACTCTCGATCAGCATCGGGTGTGAATGGCATACATACGGATGACATTGTGTTGGCCGTGCGCTAGCAGCTGACCCGTCCGTTGAACGTTTTACAACGATCGTGTTGCTATGCTGAAGCGGTTGACTTGTAGGTTACACGTTGTCGTACAAGATGGTATCGTCGTGTCCGTTGTCATTGTTGACTGAAAGAACAGTGGGTGTGACCGTAAGTACAGTTGTGGAACGCTTGCCGTAACCTGACTTTGCCTTCACTACAACGGGACTGTACTGTACGCCATGGTAACGTCGCAATGTATTTGTATAGTTAGTTCTTCTTCTTAATTAACATATACAGTATAGACATCGAGTAAGAAAAAGAAAAAACTGCCCTCGATGAATGAGTCAATCAATCCCATCGTCCCATGGTGCCCCACACTACAGTAGTACGATCGATATTGTTGTGGTCCTCAAGAAAAACGAAACAAGAGAAATAATCCCGCGATGCAACAGTGTCGACCGATGGACGTCATCAGCATATGTACTATGCTGTAACTTTCGCTAACTTCTTTTTCGACGGTACTGTACCGGCGACACTAGACTTGACATAAGGACATTACTTGAATACACTATGGCACAACTCAGAAACTCGAGAGGTAAAATCAAACGAACTAGAGATGTTTTATTGATCGACAGAATGAATCACGAACAGGTGCGATCGCCAAAGGAAATATTAAAAAATGACTACTTGGCGGCTACAATACTACTATCTATCATACATGTACAACTAGAATCTTCTTCAATGGATCTTACAATCTTTCTATCGCTCAAACTTGGGTAGCAAACAGCTATTGTAACATAGTATTGTACAACCATTTGTTCATTACTAGGGAAGCACTACAAAAAAAAGAGTAAAGTAAAATGATCTCAGAGAGAACATGAGCCGCAATATTTCCCCTCCCCCCATACGGATATACTTTTTCGTATGATTAACGGCGGCTTAATGCCGTGTGTAGAAAGAACAATATGCAGTAGAAAATGTAAATAAAATAAGAACATGCCACCAACACGGACAAGACTACAACTAACAAGTAAGGATAGTTTTCTTAAGCCGGGCAATGTAAAACAGCCCCCCCCCCCTTTTTCAATCGATGAAATCCATTTCTGTACGCCACTGAACCGTAACAAGTCAACCCGTGACGAATCCCCCAAAAATATGGCTACAGTCCAAATTGTCATTCTCATAGTAATTCAGTCATTCTAATTCTAAAAGAGTATGGAATCAAACAAATAGACCCATGTAAAAAATTTTTTACAACGACAGCCTACTTCAAAATTGTCTGTTCATCTTCTACTTTTTGAAATTCTAGTGTCTTTAGCTTATCTAGTCGAAAGGTGGGTTCAGTTTTTTTTACGAGATTGAAACTACAAAGTGCCAATGAGAAATGTTATTCTCACCCATCAGGTTCACCAAACCCAAATGCCTTGAGTAGTTGGGCATTCATAAAATGAAAAATTGGTTTACTTCTCGTAGACCTACTTTTTAATTAATGGCAGTAGTAACGGAGGGTCGTGGAAATTGCGCCACGTTGATTCTCCAGTTTCACAACACTACTTATGGTCCATTTTACATTCAATGTTCTACACGCTACAGCAGATACCGCTCGATAATGATATCATGATCACACTGTAAAAATAGGGTATAACATCATCTCTAGGTACGACAATACATAGTATATGGGAACATATACCGACAGTAAAAACACTTATTGTACGCGGTATTAATTCATACAACTGCATGCACATCAATTTACACTATGTATCGACATATTTATTGACGGCAACATACTGTACTGTACTGTATTCTTGGTATATCCCCGATCGTACGAATATCCCAGGGAACAAACATACTATACTTAGCAGTAATGTCGATGTCGTCGTTTTATAGTCGTAAATAGTTACTGAAAAGCAATCTTAGAGTGAGAAAGGGGATGGAAACTCGATAGACGCTGGCGAAATAAGAGTCATAAGGAGACAAGAGATAAGATGATGGGAGTGGAAAAACTACTACAAAACTTCAAATCTATAGTACTGTACAGTATATCGTCGAGTTATCATGTTGACATAACTACCTTTTCTTAAATTAAACTAACTGGTCGGAAGCGACCAAACATAATGCAAGAAGAGAAAAGTAGGAGTAGCTTTATCCAGTACAACCTTTACATTGATAGGACTATTTAGGAAAAGATGTGTACTTGACTAACGAATTCTCCTTTAAAATAGCGTGTTCTACGTTATAGGAAACTGAACAGAAGAGAGCTTACTCTAGACTATAGTACATGATGTTGCAGTAACTTGAAGTGGAACAATCCATCTGATCGCAACAGCGGGTATCAATCCGTTGACGATTCAGAAATGAAATATTACGGTAACGATCGTTTCTTGGTACTCATTAGCAGTGTTGAAAGACATTGTAATATAGAGAATTGGAGAAAGGCATATTTTTGAACTTGAATGAAAAAATAGGCACAGCATGCTCCATTTTCAAAAAGCAGTCCAACTTTCAATGGATGACTCGGTATAGTGATGATTTTTCTGTCAGTTGAAAAGTACTTTTATAGCCTATACCATATACTTACAAGTTAACGCTGACAAGGATAGCAATAGGCCAGTGACCAGTAAAGCATACAGCAGTAGTCGAGTACCGGCCATAACTGCTATATCCACTGTGATGTGAAAGTGATCCCTGATCAACCACCAATGAAGTTCAATACCGTTAGCACTGCCATCCAAGTTTCTCTAGTCTTGATAAAATCATAACAAACTAGTAAGATTCTACGCGTACAATGGGTGTATGAGTAGTAGAATGGAAATTTATTGATGATTGTAGGGATTGGAAGTAAAATAAATGAATCGTCTTGTTATGTTGGAAAAAGGCTTTCTATTTCGACCCAATTCACACTAACACCAAGTTAATACATAGATGCACAATCGATGGCAACAAATTGCTTTTTCTGATTGAACTTGAACAAGAATGAATCTACACTAATATCCAACAGTTGACTCCAATTACTCAACTGACTACACTAACTAAAAAAGGATGGAGAGTTTGGGGATCTAGCGCAGAATGAGTGAACTCTCAACTAGTGTATTCCAGCAAGGTGGTGCAGGCTATTATACTATACAGTACGAGGCGAAGACAGCGTATTGTACGCACGGTACGTAGGCCTACCATCAATCAAAGAGGTAAAAGAAAATTTGGGACTGTACAGTACTGTACTGTACCGTACTGTACTGTACAGTCAATTAAGTAATCGGATGGTGTACTGTACACTGTACAATTTGTCGTATTGTACACTATACACTGTACATATTGTACTCTAAACACGACTCTCAATTTAGTGATTGGATGATGTACAGTGTACAGTACAATTTGTCATAATGTACTGTACTGTACTGTACTGTACTGTACTGTACTGTACGGTACAGTACAAGCTAAAACACTGTACTGTACGGCACTTGACTGCACCCAAATGAAATGATCAGCGAAAACACCAAAAATGGACATGATACACTAGCCGAATCTACATTATGTACAGTACATTACAGACTACTATACTGTACGACTGAAATCATTCAAATCTGCTATCCGTAAAATGGATGGCATCCGATCGACGTCGGACGTACGCATGGGCATTATCATACAGTAGTGTACAATGTACAGTACATAGTGCACAGTACTGTACAGTACATAGCGTAGAGTACAGTACTGTACAGCACAACTGCACATGATAAGCTGTTTTATTGGGTACAGCTCCAATTCAGCAAGAAGAACCAATTAGTTGCTTTGTCCTCCTTGTAGCGTAGTTTGGATAACGACTACCCCAAAAAGTGATACAGCCAATATCACCATACGGTAGGCGGCGAGATCGCATTGATTAACCTGCTTGTAGTTTGTAGCCAAAGTTGATGCAAAACCGCAATCAATGGGACCGCTGTTTTAAGGGGAATGATCCAATCCAAAGTCACCAATTGGACTTACTGTACTATATACGCGTGGCACTCTTTGAAGAATGGATGTCTTGGATGAGGGCAAGTGGGGCAGTGGTGATAAAATACTATAGTACAGTCCACTCAATGACTAAAGTCTCATTCACAACATTTGGGAATAGTTGCAAAAGTTGATAACGACAGTCCTTCCAGAAGCATTGATAAAACTATCACTCGATCATTCACCAACGCTATCGCTGACTAGATACGAATTCTACCTCTCACTCTCTCAGTCAGATGGTACATCAATTAAAAGTATTAAGATAGCGTTACACCTCAATCAGTGTGGAAGTCGTCTGTGATAGCGTACTCAACTTACAATCAGGAATTAAAATACGAAAATAAAATAAAATAGCAGAATAGCCAGTGGTAGTACGTTATGTTATTCTAAGTAAGTATTGACGGTTAGGGACACAATGATCGTCTACATAGACTACTGATTACATCGGAGTCGGCACTTACATCGTAATAAGAGTCTTGCTACTCAAGCGATCACCACTTAAATCGAATCAATCCTACTTCTGCGCCACCAGTGATCACCAAGATTTTGGGTAGTCAGAAATCTCTTAATATCTCAAACGTGTTGAAAATATTTCAGGCGACTATTCAAGAAAATGAAAAGATTGAAATTGTTGAATAATTAAATTTTATCAGTGTCAAAAATTTTACAATAAACAAAAACTGTTGATGTACAGTATGCACGTAGAATTGTAGATGTATATTTTACCATCTCTACCAGTACAGATAATTCCAATCAACTATTAAAGTAACAATTACGAATTGCGTGAATTAAATCTGTCATCTAGGCATATAATACTCTTTGCTATTGTAATAAACGTGCTCTCCAATAATAATAAAGCTAAATAGACTGTAGATTAGGCATCAATATGATTGAAAAAAAAGATTGAGTCATATCGGCCGCTAACTTACATCACAAATTTGTAGCATAAAAAAATTGAGCTACAGCTCATGATGGCAGTATAATAATTATAACTGATACTTACTGTATAAATAGATTAG